TCTTTATCAATGTGTCTTTTGGAAGAGGGGAGTTTCCATTCTCTCCCATTAGTGCCCAGTTCTACCTGTTTGCTATATTTTTATAGTGTCAAAAGTGTGGTTTGCTCTTTACGCAGTAAGCAAAAAATCTGTATCAGATAGACTTCTCATCTAAGTTGAAGCTGTATTATTCTGGAACCTACTCTAAAGGGTGGAGAGGTGGAGAGGACAGGAGTAAGCTGGAAAGAAAGTTGAGTTTGGTAATGGAGTTTGCATAAACTGACAAAAAGAGAATGTCTAAAATAGCAAAAGAAAGAAAAGATTATGTTGACTAAAGTATAACTAAGAATTTCATTTGAGCAGAAATGCAGAAAAGAAGGAACAGAATTTAGACATTCTCTGAGGGAAAAAGCAACAGAATTTAGCAGCATACTAAATATAATAAGCGAAGGAGCAAAGTGAAATTAAGCTTTGAAGCATAAGGAGTGAATTGGATTATATAATTGCTTTCTGTGATGTCTGAAAAAGGGGAATGAGATGGATTCTGTTGCTTGTCAATTTAAGTCAACATTTGGACTTTCAGGACATTGTTACTTACTAGATTGATTTAACAATGCTGGAACAAATAAAACCAATCTACTAAATTGTAAGAGACTCACAGAATGTGGTGGAAAGAGTTCTATGCTTGCCTTGCTGCATAAGTGCAGTAAAAAGAGAAGCTTTCAGTAGTCCTAGCAGTGCAGCTTGGAGGTGCTTTTAAACAGAATATTGTACTTCAGTAAGCCCACTATGTGGTAGTCTTTGGAACTCCAGTTATAGAGATACTATCTGGGGAGAAAATAAGCAAAAAATTCAGTTGAAAAGAATTAGAAAGCAAATGGTCTTTAGGGAAAGTAGCAGGTGTTAACTGTTAACTTTGTCCACTCCCTGTAGCTCCCTTTAGAAAGTGTGGAGTGAACGTGATCAGAGTGAAAACCCCAAAAGACTAGGTAAGGGACAGGTGGTGCTGAAACAAATTGTCTGATGACATTCAGAGCTCTGGATTGTACTTTCAAACACTGTGAAGCCAGAGAAAATCCAGAGATAGAGGCCTTGATTTCTCCTTTATTAGCCTTTGGCAATGACTTTGAAACCAGCAACTGTCAGAACAGAGCAGCCATTTAACTCCATCATATATGCTTATTTTTTTAACATGTTCTTGTAACCTTTCATCTAACCAGTCAAATAACTGACCTAATGCCCATCCAAAAGACTCTAAATGAAACCCTTTTACCTGCTTTACATGTCAGACCTCAATCTGACAAGTTGATACAAAGGCACAATAAACCTTCCTCCTGACCTAAAACTATCCTCAGTTTTCTCATTCCACAGGCAGAGGCAGCATGAGAACTCTGCTCTTCATAAGTCCTTTTGCTTTTGGGTCTTGCCACAGGTAACAGAGAGATCAGCAGTAAAATGATTAGGTCCAGCCAATCCATGTGACTGAGGAGAGATGTAAGGATAAATGTCAGGCTGTCACACACACAAGTTTATAATGAAAAACAGTTTCCTTGCAGCTTGAAAATCAGCTTGCTAAGGCATAAACATGGAAAGATTCCAAAGATACTGTACTATATTGGAGGCCGGCTTTTAACCTAAGCAGATTTTTTTTTTTCTGAAAGTTTTGTAGGATAGATTTCCTCTAATTCTCCACTAAGCCCATGACTACATCAGCAAGTATTGCAAGGAGTTCATCTGAGGACCCTAGGCCTGCATTAGATGTGTTTTGGGGGAATTTACTTTGGTGTAACACTAGTCTGGGTTTGTAGATAGAACACCCATTAGTGGCTGGAGTACGTTAGGCACCCTGAAGCATACCATTTGGGTCATTTTGTTTGAAAAGAATCTTGTTTGTCTGCCTTGAGTCAGGAGATTCACTTCAAAAAACACATTCCTGGTCTGAGCTGAAACACTGATGTAGATGATTTCTAAGGTGTCATTGGTTTACTTACCTTGTCAGACATGGTGCTCATCAAGGGCTAGAGCTTCAGGTGTTTCTAGTTAAAAACAATAGGCAAGTGTTCATGTACCTTGCAGTTTGGAAGTGGAAGTAATTCAGTTTCTTGAACGACTGTAGTGACTCAATTGATTGCTGATCAGAATGTCCTGTACAGCATTCAGTGATAAAGGTGTTAGTGACCTGGGAACAGATAGCTAAGAAATTTGCATAGAGGAATCTCACACGGTAGAAATATGCACTGCAATATCATGCAGACAAAGCTATTAAGGTCATGATTTTATTTGCTTCTTTCTTAAATCATTTTACGTTAGTGTCAGCTGTTTGCATAATGAGAAGGAGATGCTATATGTGGTCTTTATGGAATTAGTATGTTAATCTCAGAAAGGCTATTTTGGTTAATGAGTTCTGTCTCTGAGATTTTTTTCTGTCAGTCAGGATCCATCTCTTTATGTCATAATAAATATAGATCTGGAAATAAGTCATCTGATTGCTTGATAAGCATTCTAATACAAAATAATCAATCATACCTCAGAGCGGTATGTAAAACTAATCTTAACAAGACATCCAAGAGAAGCACTATTTTATATCTAGTAAATCTCACTGCAGATCAGGATTGATTTGTATACAGCAAGGTGAGTTCTATGTCATTTTTTTCAGCCTTTATGCTGTTTTGCTTGATGTTCCAGGCTGAGTGCCATGAACTCATCTAGACTGGATTAACAAATTTCTGCATCATGGGTTCATTCCATTATTCATATGTACATGAAAACAAATCATAAGAATTCTTAAATTCTGAGAATTCACTAGTTAATCAAACTGTGCAATTATCAATATAGTAATATTTTAGAGTTTTTTATTTTATCTTTTCTTTGTAGACTCATAGATAGAAATATGTTGGAAAATAGTGGTTTCAACAAAATTGTCATTTCAACTTTTCCTCAAATGGGAGAAGTCCTTACTCTAAATTATACAAAAAAGGAACAAATATTTGAAGACTAGAAAAAAAATGTATTTCTTATTTAAGGCACAAAATGCATGGGCTGTGTTCTGTTTGGTCCCCTTGTTATTAATGCCATGCACTAGACTTCTCCTTTTCAGTATTCTGGCAAAACATGCATGGGAAAAGAAACAAAAAAAAAAACCCAAAAGTTTTTATTTTGGCTGTTTTGGCAAAGGGAGGATTATCATTTCCCCTGAAATTTTCAGAAATTAGTGACTTTCCCTGGATCTTGTATGAACAAAAAAAATAGCATAGTTTATCATGTAAGTTATCCAAAATGAATTTGTTTTCTCACCTCTAATCTTGTGCTAGCTGATTTTAGTAGTTTTTTATTTTAAAGGAAGAAATACATTAACTCAGCCTGGAAAATGAACTGTTAGGCTGCAGAACATTAGCATAATCAGCTGGCACCTATTTCTTGGACATTCTATCTGACAAACTCATGTGTCCTTGTGATTAAAATATAATGAATAACCTTGCTAATAGCTGTCTCCCAAGGAGAATAGCATATGAAATTAGAAAAAGATATTCTCCTCGGCGTGGAATTGAAACCTAAAAAATGGAAATTATAAAAGCATTCATTCATTTATACTAACAAGTATAACTATTCAACTACTATGCTTATATTCATCTTGTAGAAACCTGCTCTTCAATATAATACTTTTTGGTAGCGTTTACTCTGCATGTATCTGGAAAGACGCAAAGCAAAAGCCGATGGATTTCTGGCCTTGATGAAACAGCACTCATTATACCAAATCTTGTGGCTACTGTTAGGCTGCAATAGAATTCTAATGATAGTCTGCTATTTTGAAAGTAATTCAAAGACTTTCTAACTCTGTTATTTCATAATCTTTTGGAAGTGAGCTTATTTTGGAAGAGCTTATTTTGGAAATAAGCTCTTATTTGATCAAACTAATCCAATGAGTCTTTTCTGATAAATTCATGGCCACATAGGTATCTAGATTTAATACTTTATTTTACTGTTTGAGATCTCATTTTGGTTCTGGAGTCCCTTTGCAGAATTTCTCCTGCAGAGGAGATACAAAAGATGATGCATGAGGTTGAGCGGCAGAGAGTACAGTGTGAAGGCCTTGGCTTTCTCAAAACTGAAATTTAGTGGGGAAAAAGCCTTGAAAGTCTTACAGTCAAGAATTCTGTCAAAAACATTATATTTCATGAGGCGTAGGCATCATGATTTCTGCAGGTGCCACTAAATCCTCTCTCATGCACTGTTGTGCGCAGTCCAGTTTGAGATGCATGAAGCATATTGTATATGCATCATATGCTAAAGTGAGACAGGGAATGATTTTGCTAGTGTTGCTGTCACATGTGCTTAAGTAACATAGACAACTAAGTTGCATTTTGAAAATTTTCTCTCGAATATGTGTGAAGCCATTATCCTTAAAAATTAAAAATACCAAAAGCTTTTACCTGCAAAATGGTGCACATAATGGTCCAAAATAATTCTGTGGCATTTGCATTACTCCTGGCAAATTTGCCTCTCTAGTAATGCATCCATGAGCACCTTGTTTCATAAGTGAGCCACATGCTATTGGAAGTAGCAGTTCTACATATCTTAGTCTTTATATATCCTTCTGCTTGTTAGGTCAAACTCCATTTGTAGTGTTATTTCAACTCAGCAGGGCAAGAGAAGGTAAGGAAATTCACCTAGCACAATTTGGAAGTTACCCTCAAACAAGCTTTTGTATAGCATGTGATTTTTTTTTAATCAAAATCTAAAACCTTGTGACCTAACAAGGACAGAAGCAACCACTGTATCTCTTCCAAAAGAGGGAACTTTCCTTCTTTAGCATGATGGAGCAGCTTCTTTTGGTAAGCTGATGAGTCACAATGTGCTAAATCTTACAGTTGGCACAGGAGTTTTATTGGCCGTCTGTTACATACAAGTTTCTTTGCTCAGGAAGTATGGGAAACAATTGAAAAACCAACTTTTTGCTTTCAAAAAATTACTACATGGAAAAAAGAGATAAATTTTATGACAGTGGAGCTATTCTTGTTTAGGTAAGAGCCCAGCTGCGAAAGATGGGAGATATTCAACCGATAAATATATTTCTACATCAAGAAATAGACCACATGCAACATGTTATATCAAGAGTTCGAGCTACACTGACCAATCTCAAATTGGCTATAGATGGTAAGTTACATTATTAAGTATGATGCTAATTAAGATGTATTATTTATTGCAGAATGCTTCTCATAATATATTACTAAATAAATATTTTCCCTCCCTCCCTCCCTGTCTTCCTCTTTCTCCTTCCTTACTTCTTCTTCTCTCTCTCTCTCTTCCCCCTTTTTCGCTTTCACTATCATGTGACCACTTACTCTAGCCCTTAAAGCCTCCTAACTACATCTCTAAAGACACTCCATCTTCATTTATTCCATATGTATATGCTGCAGTATTACAGTCCAGTATGTCCAGGAGCACTGTTGCACTTCCGTTAGTCTGTCTAGGATTTTGCAGAGCTCAGAGAAGATGAATGGTTTGATTAGGTCCACAGGTCATGTGCCCAAATTAAGCTGAGACATAATGATATAGAACAAGGGGGGAGTGTTGCTACTAAGTAACTGAGAGAGAGAGTGCTCAGAAGGCCAGGTGGTAAAGACTCTAATTTCAGATGAGTTTAGCAAGGTTTATGAAACTGGTTTTGCCAGATAGAATGGCTCTAAATGGAATCTCAAGCGAGTAGGGGAGGCAGTCAAAAGACAATGACAGAGATATGCGTTTTGCCATCACAGGACGTAGACAGCAGTGCTCTCTCTCTCAGACACAGGAATGTTTGACTGAAAGTGAGCAATGGTGAATGCAGTTAATATACATTTCGCGTACAGGAGACCAGAGGCAGGTAGGAAATTTGATCAGAGTGAGGGAAAAGAAGGCATGATAATGTTACCATCTACTTTTCTATTTTCACTTCCCATTTTGCTCATCTGTAAGAGATGAAATGGCCATGAAGAAGAATATAACGTTGATCAGCCAAGCTCCTTGTTAAGTTGAAAGAAGATTTGACAATAAATGAAAATGTAGCAGGGAGGTTTCAGTTCCACTAGTTAGGATCTCTCTCACCCAAGTCTGCTGTTCTCCACATTAAGAGAGGCACAAAACATCTAATAAATGTAAGCTTTACCCTGTACGGAGAAGCTCAGAGTGCCTCAAAAGCAGTTCCATCTGATATGGGTAACAGCAGTACTGTGATCTCTCTCACTGCTCTTTTCCAGTCCCTTGACAGTAAGTCAAGTCTGAAGGGAGATTTTTTTTTTTAATTTGTATTTTTGTTACATAAGAATCAAAAGGGATTTTCCTATCATTTGTATGATTCACTGAAGCAACAATGCATGCTTCAGAAACATCATGCCTATAATCTGAATCTAAGAAAGAGGTTTATAAATGTACCTAAGGCTAATTAGACTCTGTATCCTGTAATAACATGCAAAGACCAAGCTAAAAGAAGCAATTGTTCTGTTTCAGAATTGAGCCAAAAGTCCCTTTTCAAGTTAATTAAAATAATGCTTTCTATCTGAGAAACAGAATTAGTCTTTCCTTGATCATGACAGATATATTTAAAGTCTCAAAATGTACAATACTCTGCAGAGGGTGGATGAGTAACATAATTTATTTGCACTTATTATTCGGTTCCACAGAGGGCATTGTCCTGTACCAGATGCTTAATCAAGTTAATGCTGTAACTTTTGTACAATCCTTTTAAACATTATGATTTTCTAAGGGACAGGCAAGTTAAGTATAGTGAAAAATCACTCTGAAAACAAAATTGGATATATAGTTAACAATAGTGATTAATGGCTCCTGGCAGATTCATGATATATCAAGTGCATGTTTTAAGTAGGCAGTGGAAAGAATGTTTAGGCACTCTGTCTTGCCTAAGCAAGGGGAAAAGACCCATACTCTCTCATGGTAGCTTCTCCCCCAAAGCTTTCTAAGTGAATCAAGTAGAATCTTGTCAATTGATACACTCATTTTTCTTTACAATGAGATAAACTGATCTGCCTGCTCAGACAGGTCAGGGGAATTTTTATATCCACCCTGGTCATGCATCTGGCTCTGGCTTCATGAGCCCATTAAGGCCTGAGCAGCTGTTTATAGCATATCAAGCTTTCAAACAAATATTATATTTAAGAGTATAGGGTATCTTAATGTTGAGTCATGTACCTTTGTGAAAGGAGATCTGAATATTTGATTTTGTAGGTTGGATGTGAGTAGATGGACTTTGTCATTTTGCTTATTGCTTGCTGAGTATGTTTGAAACGATTTGATTTGAGGCTCTCCTCAATAAGAACCTGTGTGCAGCTGAACATGAATGATGCTGAGGGAATTAGCAGAAGTAGTTTTGTTCTGCTATCCAGAGGACAGATTAAGCAGCGTTCAGCTTTTGGGAGGGGTGAGGATGCTCAGAATCTCTCCAACATATTTATTGGCAGTCGTGTCCCACAAGCCTGCATCTCCACAAAAGACTTTGCTGCCCAGAGGGATACTTTTTTGGATCAAATTGTAGTAATTAGATTGTAGCTGTGCTTTGTACTCTCTGCTATGTCACAACTATTAGTTTTGTTTTAATTACTTATTGATTGCCCAGAAATTATTTCACAGTTGGAATAATACAGAGCTTCATATAAATCAGGAAGCAGCAATGATGACTGTCCCCTCAAGTGACCTAAATAGAGGCTTTGTTCCAAATGGAGCAATCATTTTGGAGGAAAGGAAGGAACTGTGTTCTCATCTTTTCTTTTAGGGAGTAGTAAGACATGGGGCCTGAACCAGAACTCCAGATCCTAATGGGATATAAACAAGTCCTGAGTTCGTACCGGATTGTGACCGTATTCTCTGTAGAAACAGCAATAGCAGCTGTAGCATTCCTGTGGATGTGCCTTACTTTCCTCCAGTGCAAAGGTAGATGTCTCTAGCACCAGAGTACCAATACCATAACTGTTTAGTGTGGAGTAGGCACTTCAGATTACCTCTCCTACTAAAAAAGTGTCTTTAGATGCAATAAAATGTAATGACCTTTCCAGTCATTCCTAGTCCCTACTAGAGTTTATTTGAGTAGAGTGGAGCAAGTATGACCTGTCTGTGAGACAGAGGAGTCTCTTAATTCCTCTAAGCCTGAAAGAGGAGTAGTAAGTGTTTAGAGGGCACCCAAATGTTCCTCTGTCAGTGAACAGAGGGAGAAGACAGATCTTTGTGGGAGTTCTCCTCGGTCTCCCTTGAGCAACTTCTGTGAATCTCAGTAGTGGAGCATGCTGATGGCCCTCCCGTGAAAGTTGATATTGAACCCTTGGCAATGGAAATACACACAGCTTTTAATATGGATTTATTTTCTACTTTTTTTAACCTACTTAATATTCTATTTAAGCACCTGTCATGTAAATATATGGGAGAGAAACAAATGCTTAACTCATTTATTTATGAATATGTCCTATATTCTACTTTTGTTATAAAACTACATCCACTTGGCATTTGTTTCTGGTACCTTATAATTTTGTTTTCAAACTAAACCTTTGGAACTGCCTACTTCAAGACAAATTAAAGCCATGCAGGAAATCTTAGATTTATTACACTTTCATGTCATATATGTGTCACATGATCAGAGAACTCCCACTGTTATGTATACAATACAGAGTTAGGAGAAAGAAATCCTTTTCCTGTTAACATATTTCCTGAGAATACAGCAATCCCTCTGAAGGCTTTTACGTGACTTATAATATGTTAAGATTTGCTTCCACGGCTTGCTGGCCTAGAGTTTTTGTTACTTACAGGACACATTGTACAAATACCTATGGCAGACATAGGACCAACATAGAAGGCAAAAGCAGTGGAATCAATAGGCATAGTAACTTCACAAGTCACCATGGCATTCATTATGGAGAAACTCTACCAGAATTAAGCCAACTTTCCACTACAGCTGCAATTTAGTACCCATAATGTTACAAGGCTAGCATATTTTCGTGCATGTAATGCATACGGTACATAACCTGTACAGCAGTATTTAAAAAAAAAATTCACAGATAACTACATCTACATGGAAACTACATCCGACACTAAAAGAGAAGGGAATCAGAGCTTTTGGTAAAAATTTCAGGATCAAGGATATTACTAAGTGGAGAGAGGACTTTGCTGTTTGCCCTATTTTTTACGCCAACAGGCATATACCATGTGCTTTTCCTGTAAATAACACATGGGTTATACTCATGGAAACTCATGAATATTAGTATACTAGCATGTTTCAGGCATATGTTTATGCCAGCTTGAAAAGTGTGAGATGATGTAAATCAGACTATTGAGAAAAAAGGTATTGGAGAATAAAGTGATGCATTTTTATGTATGTTTCTAATATTTTTAGAACATTATAGACAGAGGTAGAAGTCCCCTAGTATTAATAACCAGATCTTGAGGAATACTGGTGCATTTCGCTAGTGGCCATACATCTCACTTTTGGATTTGGTATCTTATTAAAAACTTACTAATCACTTGCTTTGAGCTTATTACCGTGATTTCTAGCCAGTGTGTTGGCTTTAGGAGTTTCCTTACTGTTATTCATCAGAGAATACGCTGAGACCCAGAACTTCATGCAGACATGAGGTGGCATATATTTCTGTGTGCATAACAGCTATCACTTAGTTTTTAGGTCATCCGCACAAACTTATGTTCGGCCTCTGAAAGAATAAGATAAAGATTCACTATTTTTCCTGAGAATACTCAGTATTCTCAGTATACTGTCAGTTGACAGTAGAATTTACATCCTGTTCCTGCAAGTGAATTCACATCATTGAATGTATTACCTTGCAAGGGGGATATAACTGAAAGAATTGGGCACTAATTTACTCTAGTCTGTGTGGGGAGAAACTGAAGCTCAGCAAGCTAGTTTTGTCAAAGCACGCAAGAAAGGCAGTTGCCCACAAATGGACAGAGTATTGACTTCTTCCAAATTTCTGCAAAACTGAGGACATTCAAACTGCTAAGTTCTGCTTAGACTGATAATGCTTGAATTCTGTTAAGACTAATAAAGTTTTAGTTTGGCCTACTGAGTATGGTCATAGACTTTTAGACTGAAAGATCTTGGGCTTTTCCCTTACTGATTCTTAAAGGGTGTGTGTAGAAGGCTTGGAGGGATCATTTGTGTA